TAATGGGGGCTGATCAACAAGCCTGTGTCATTGGATTCAGGTTAAATTGGGAACTACGCCGCTAGAGGCGCTTCACTTTTATGTTACTTATGACGGGCGCTATAATATATGGATCATATTTACAACATAGAATATTTCGTGATCCTGTCCATATAGAAAAATACTGTTTTCAGCAAAGTTGTTAAGGTGACCAAGTCCTTTAGAATGGTGGCCATATTAGTTCAGAACTCTCTCACTACGCAGCGCTAGTGTACATGTGCAATTCCTATATAAACTGTATCTCGAGAGCCTGGCCATATAGAAAGTTGCTGTTTTCAGCAAAGTTGTGCAGGTGATCAAGTCCTTTCGGATGATGGTCATATTAGTTCAGAACACGCTCACTACACGGCGCTAGTGTGCAAGTGAATTTCCTGAATAAGCTGTATCTCGAGAACCTGGCCATATAGAAGGTTACTGTCTTCAGCAAAGTTGTTCAGGTGACTAAGTCCTTTCGGATGATGGTCATATTATTTCAGAACTCTCACACTAAGCGGCGCTTGTGTGCACATGAACTTCCTTAATATGTTATATCTCGAAAGCTTGTCCATATAAGATGTTGCTGTGCAATGTGAGAACAGGCCCCCACAGGAGAAAGCAAATGCGATCGGCGAGCATGTCGCTTCATCGCATTTGCTTGGCTCGAATATCCAAAGTCCGCTCGATGATCAGGTTGTGCAATGCGTTCAAAACCTAGATGTCTTCCTTGTGTCGTGCCTCCGGCGGATATGATTACAGTACAACAGATTTGCTCAGCGCTGAAATGCACCAAGAACATGAAGGCTCCCGGCTTTGACGGTATATTCAACTTGATCTTGAAGAGACTCAGCATGAAAGTGCAGTCTCTTCTAACCGCTATCTTCAACAGATGCTTGGAACTGCACTACTTTCCAACCATCTGGAAAGTAGCAAAAATTATACCAATCCGCAAGCCCGGTAAGGATCCAACATTGCCTTCAAGCTACAGACCAATCAGCCTCCTTTCAGCGCTGAGCAAATTGTTCGAGAAACTCATTCTCAATCGTTTGCACAAGTTTGTCGAGGAAAACAACATTCTCCTTCCGGAACAGTTTGGATTCAGAAAGGGGCACTCCACCAATCATCAGCTAGTACGGGTGATGAATAACATCCGAAGTAACAAAGCTGTATCCAAGTCCACAGCCATGGCCTTGTTAGACATTGAAAAGGCGTTTGACAATGTTTGGCATGATGGACTTGTGTACAAGCTTTGTAACTTCAAAATCACCCGTAACTACCTCCAGCAAAGGTTTTCCATCCCAGCAGGAGTCCCGCAAGGCAGTCTGCTGGGCCCCTTGCTTTACAGCATTTACACTTCCGACATTCCTCCCCTTGGAAACGGTTGCGTGTTTTTCCTGAGATGATACCGCAATAGCCGTCAAAGGAAGGATGCCTCGCGAAATAACGAACAATCTTCAACGATGCCTTAACGCCTTTGCTGATTATGCCACCACGTGGAAAATAAAAATCGATGCCTCCAAAACACAAGCGATCATGTTCCTCCATCGGCAATTGCCCAAACTGAAACCGGCTCCATCTTGTACTGTAATCATGGATGGCACAAGGGTTGAGTGGTCCGCCGAAGTAACCTATCTCAGGATGTTCTTTGACGAAAAACTCCTATTCCGCTCGCATGTGGAGAAAACCGTAATCAAATGTTCTGCCTTGGCTAGATGTCTGTATCCACTGATTTGCCGCAGATCCCGCCTCTCAAGGGTGAACAAACTGGCCGTCTACAAACAAATCATTGCACCTGCGATCCTCTACGCAGCTCCGGTGTGGGAATCATGTGCACAGACTCACAGGAACAAAATTCAGTCCTTTCGACACTAGAATAACAAATTTACATGAAGAGGCAGGCATTGCCAAAATAGATTCCAAAAATAACAAAATTTAGACTAAATTTGCACAACAATGTAATTTATCAGAACATGCTTTGATAAGCAATTTGTATATAGTAGGTTAGGTGTATATAGTAATTGTAGGTTAGTTGTAGTTGTAAATAGTAGCTATAAGTAGACTCCTTTTTCCTATTCAAATCAAACCAATCCCACCAAGGTGGTCATACTTTAAAATAGGCCTGATAGGACTAGAAACTGTAAATAATAATTAAAATCTCACTGTACTAAAGTTGAAAAGACGCATCTGTGTCACTTGAAAAATTCATACATGTAAACCACACAAACACAAGAAATAAAGATCATTTAACTGTTTTACAGTCAAAAAAATGTGAGAACAGGAAAGGAAAGGAAACGACGTGTAGAGCCGATGCCAGACGCCATTTTAAGATGGCGGCCATTGGTTTTAAGAAAAACTGTCAAATATCCTACAATGTGGAAAATTCCTCAAAACAATAAAACGCTTTGATTTGCTTTGTTTTTTTTTCTATCGTAAACTACAGATTTATTCCACATTTTATTTTCTCTTTCGATAACAAAGATCCAACCAGCGCTGTCATGTTTTATGCATTCTAGACACTCTCGTTCTTCCACTCCGTGAGAAGGGTCTCACTTCCCTTAGCAAATCTTGCATTTTTGCACTCCGTTCAACATTGCTGTCCAATGTGCAGAAACTTTCGACCTCGGAGAGTTGATTTAGTTTTAACTCGATTTCTGCCGCACCAGGTGGTGGATGAAAATATCACCCGTATTCACTGTAGAGGGGTTCAGGAATAAATCTGTAGTTTACGATATAAAAAAAAAGAAACAAAATAAATCAAAGCGTTTTATTGTTTTGAGGAATTTTCCACGTTACGTTGCGATCTTGCTTAGTGATAAAATTGTACACAATAAATTATACGCAATATTCTTGGAAAGCCTTATTTGTGGAAAACATGTTTTTTTTAACTAGTTCGTTCGCTCAATCGCGTTAGCTTTACGGAGCCGATAGTTCATTGTTCTTTGTTTGTAACAACATTCACTTAATTCTATGTCTAGTAGGAGTTGGGCCGGAAACTCGCGGCTTAATCGAGGTTAGAGAGGTACATTGTCGAACGATAGGATCAGGGGAGGAGCTTGGGCGTAAGGTTTCGTTGTCTCATGAGAGCGTTGTAACCAGTATGAACAGTGCGGTTCTAGTTTCGTCTGGAGTTTGACCGGCTATGGTGAGCATGGAAAACATGTTGCCGCCATATTGGATTCTGGCCTCTACACGTCGTCCCTTTTCGGAAATTCCCACATTGTAGGATATTTGACAGTTTTTCTTGAACAGATGGCCGCCATTGGTTTTTAACATGGTGTCTGGCATCGATTTCCAGCCTCTACACGTCATCTCCTATCCGGAAATACCCATATTGTAGGGTATTTGACAGTTTTTATTGAACCGATGGCCGCCATCTTCGATTTCAAAATGGCATCTGGCACGTCGTTTCCTTTCCGAAATCCTCATATTGTAGGGTATTTGACAGTTTTTCTTGACCCGATGGCCACCATTTTGACAATAGAAAGACTAGAGAGTTGTTCCAGCCTTATACGGATTTTTTTTTGCAATTGTTTTGACAATTAGATACAGAGTAACAAATCATTGCTCATCCATTTATTTGATGAACTTACAGATATCGAATGATTTTTCAAACATTGCCAATTTGACGTTGTACATTTTATCGGAGGCATCGTGTTCGGAGTGTTAAATTAGAAGAAAAAAACTACAAGGAACATCCCTACGGGGTTGTACGCAATAGTGACGTAGGACTACGTGATATTTTATAGTAAATCTTATTTGTTAACTGCAGCAGAAGCTTGTGTTTTGTGTAGGAATAGGAATTTGAGCGGGGTTCTCTCTGTTTATACTCTTTAGTATGACGCGCTTGACATAGATGGCTCACAGCAACTCACGAAGAGCTACTGATTACGATCAATAGCGGTGCGGCTTCTTCCACCTTCTATGGATGCTCATGTGGGCTGCAGCTCACTGCTTGCAGGCAGCCTTTTGTTGTGTAATGGAGAACAATTTTCAACACCACGCGCTGAAAGCTCTGCTGCTGCTGCTACTGATGATGCCGACGACTGGACACCACCACACACGGTGATTGGCCAGCCTTGGTAGCTAGCTGCTTGCGGAGAGCTTTTCGTTATGTACTGGAGAACACCACCACTTATTACGCCGTTTGGTTAGACCAGATGGAATTTAACTTTTAAATCTGTGTTATGGAAATCGTGTTATGGACATTTTGAAACATGATAAAGTCTTAAATTAAACAGATGCGTAGAAATATATCTGATCGAATGGTGATAAATTATTAAAATTCTTCCAGGGGCAGCTGAGTTATTCACGTTCAAAATTGTTCATACTTGTGTTACAAGTTCCATTTTCTGTTTTCACAAAGTGTACCCCCCTATAGAAATCACAGACGTAGTCCTACGTCAAAAATGTAGCAACACTGTCCATGAATGCATATCATATATTGAAATCTATTATCGATTGCAACGGATTGTTATTTTGTGTTTGATGATTGAGGATATAGAGTTCCGTTTGTACAAGGTAAAGCATACAAGGGTTGGATTTCATATGCGAGTGCAATTCGTTTCTTTTCAGTTGTTTTTTTAAGATATAGATCACTTTAATTAATTCTTCTTCATCTTTGCATTTCAAGCTTATTGCTAATACGTTAAAACTACTAAACAAGCTTATTAACGGTTAACGACGCTAAATTTATGGATAACCATCACTAATCACCTGCTTGAACGATGACCATTGAACACAATAAGCTTAAAATTTATAATGCTTCAAAATGCCACTTCAAATCGTTGTATCCCATCGATGGCAATATTTTTATTCTGCTTTCCACTAAACAACCTCACAATCCACACCCACCGCAACAGTTACCATTAATTTACTTTTATCTGGCCATTCCAATTCAATTCGAATTTGCATAAATGAATTTTCTCCGCTAAATTTCAGCTGTTTATTTAATCGACTTCTTTCGTATTTTCTTTTCATCCCAACAGGAAGATACGGCAAAGCTGATACGCCGAAAATCTGCTCCCCCACAAGCCGCCTTTAGGACGCTCGTTCAGAGCAGAGAACGGGAGGGAAATTCTTCGGAATCAATTTCCCTTGCTCGCTCCGGAGATGTGAAGAAAACCGTGTGCTTATCCTGCCACCTTCCAGCGAATATAATATCCATCACTGATAACGAGATCAGACGTCTGTGCACCATGCGAGCAGAATAATCGCGTAACAATCGAGAATTGTGAAAAGCCCTCGACAAATTCTATTTCCATTCCGAGGGAAATTGTAAAAACACAGAACATCGGATTTACCTGTCTGCGATTGGGGATATGATAAATAAATAGCCATCATCGTACACGTTCATGGCCGAATGGTGCCCGAAGTGAACCGTTGCTGAAAATGGCATTGTTCCAAAGTTATTCTGCCGACGTCATCAACCTGCTGTGCGCTAGGTAACCGCAGATTCGACGGGGAGTGAAAATTCCGCGTATTCGTTTTTATTTCTAGCGATCAGGGCAATTCAGGACATTCCATATAGAGGGGGGTTCAACTACAATGACAGCAGTGATGTCGCAACAGGATCGTGCTAATTTTGTGTCCGTCCTGCCAGCAGCCGTGTTTCGGCTCGGATGGTGAAAGTGTGGCGTGAAGCGTGACAAAGTGCAAAAATTGTGTGCACAGTGCGTTTGTGCATTTAGCAGGGTTTAATTTTTTATTCTAAATTCAAAGCTGTGCTATTAGTTATTGCTTGGTGGAGCGTAACGACGACGAAACCACAGAAGTGTTTTTAATCAAAACGTCAAAACATAGTTAAAAGGTCTCTGCGGGTGCACCGGTTTGCACACATTGTCAACTGCGGCGATTTCTACCAACAACAGCAACAACAACAACAGCACAACATATTCAACATGAGGAATCGAATACAGGTCACCCTGGACATTTGGGTGCTGGTCGTCTATGTTATAGGTAAGTTGAATATTGGATATTTTGCTTATTATACCACTGGCACTTCTGATGCAATCACATAAATCATTGCTTGTAGCTCGATGAATGTGTAAACCAAAAAAATTCGGCTCTGTTGGAAAACAATTAATTTCAACTGGGATACTGATATTTCTCCCGCTTCCCGTGAATAAGCAGGAGTAAACTGCCATTTGATTTCGAAGAATAGACAGTCTTCGTTGATGATTTGCTTAGCTGACTATCTCTTATGCGGCAAACAATGCACACTGGGAGCCAAAATCAAGCATAGAAGCCAGCCTTGAATTGGATTGAGCGATTCTCACTGAAACCAGCTCACAAGTTTTTCGATGTTCCAAAATATTGGATGATTCGAATTAATGTATGTATTTCTAATAAAATCGCTCATTAAATTCTTCGAACCATTCGAAAGGGAAACATCGGCTCTTTTATTTGGAATGTTTAGAATTTTTGGTGGCCATACTGAAATTAACCGTGGCATTGGATTTTTCGTTGAAATTAGTTTTTCTTAAGCTCGCCAATTTTAAAATTAAGAACACATTTTGATTATTCAGATAATTTTTCCAATAAGGAAACATGCATAAATGACGTTGCATTCCAGGAGAAGGGGGGAAGGGTCTCAGAAATTGTGACAAGCCATGTATTAGATGTAGCAAAATAGGGGAGTTAAAATACGGCGGTAAAGCACTAGATTAAACGCTGCACTGGGTAATTGCCAAAATTTGATTACCAGAGAAGTGGATGGAAGGTGCCATATGCCCACTTTACAAAAAGGGCAACAAGTTGGATTGCTGCAACTACCGCGCGATTGCACTGCTGAGCGGCGCCTACAAGGTACTCTCCCAAATGCTATGCCTGCGCCTGCCACCATTTGCAAGAGAGTTTGTGGAGCAATACCAGACGGGATTCATTGGTTCCCGCGCTACCACGGACCAAATTTTCGCGATTCGGCAGGTTCTGTAGAAATGCCGCGAATACAACGTGCCCACACATCATTTGTTCATCGATTTCAAATCCGCATACGACACAATCGATCGAGATCAGCTATGGAAGATTATGTACGAGTAAACGATTGGTCAAGGTGACGATGGATCGAGTAATATTCGTTGTTCCAGTATCGGAGACACACTTGAGTCCCTTTGAATTTCGAAGGGGGTTACGGCAAGGTGATGGACTTTCGTGTCTGCTATTCAACATCGCGATAGAAGGTGTTATCAGGGGGGGGGGGATTGACACGAGTGGTACGATCTTCAGAAAGTCCATCCAGCTTCTTGGCTTCGCCGATGACATCGACATCATGGCACGGAACTTTGAAACGATGGCGGAAACGTACATCAGACTGAAGGCTGAAGCTAGGCGATTGGACTTGCCATCAACGCATCAAAGACAAAATACATGAAAGGAAGAGGTTCTAGGGAAGACAATGTTAGCCTCCCACCCCGACTTCAGATTGGCGGTGACGAAATCGAGGTGGTCGATGAGTTCGTGTATTTGGGCTCACTGGTGACCGCCGAAAATGATAACAGCAGAGAAATTTAAAGACGCATTATGGCAGGAAATCGTGCCCACTTTGTATTCCGGAGGATGCTCCGGTCGAATAAAATTCGCCACAGCACGAAGTTGACTATCTACAAGACGCTGATTAGACCGGTGGTCCTCTACGGCCACGAGACGTGGACTATGCTCGTGGAGGACCAACTCAAAGTGTTTTGAACGGAAGGTGTTGCTTACCATATATGGAGTGCAGATGGATGACGGAACGTGGAGAAGGCGAATGAACCATGAATTGCACCAGCTACTGTGGGAGAATCATCCATCGTCCACGTTGCAAACATTGGGTGACTTCGGTGGGTTGGGCACGTCGTAAGAATGCCGCACGGCGACCCAGTGAAAATGGTTCTTGAAAGCTACCCAGCAGAAACAAGAAGAAGAGGCGCGCAGCGGGCAATGTGGATCGACCAAGTAGAAGGCGACCTGCGGACCCTTCGCAGACTACGAGGCTGGTGAAGTGTGGCCATGGATCGAGTAGAGTGTAGACGACTTCTTCGGACAGCAGAGGACAACAAGGCCTTAGGCTGATTGGTAAGGTAAGTAAGAGGTTCCCTAAATTTTCATTACTCTCTGACGCTTATGAAGTTTTCGAATCATTCATAGAATTCTAGGAATATCTCATAATTGCACGGAACTTTTTGGAAGTCTATGCAAATTTCCTTAGTTTAATGGGAGTGCTCTAAAGCTATTTGATCGTCTAAGATGTACTCGGGACTTCACTGAATCTCACGAAACCATCTTAAAGTTTCTAAGTTTCATTCAAGGTCTCTGAAATTTCTTACAGATATCATTTTTGTTTTAAATAATGGATCAGCCTTGAAGTTCTCGCATCAACTTAGTGAATTTCGAATCATATAATATATTTTAATGCTCTCACATTTTCCTGATTGTGATATAAGATCCCTTATGTTCTAGGAATTCTCTCGGAGCTTTGCTGTAGATTCTGGAATTTCCCTTTTTTATCGAATCATCTGTAAGCTTTTTGCAATTTCCTTGAAGTTATTTAAACTGTTCTTTGATTTTCTGATCGGTCTGAATTCTACCATATCTTGGTTCTGTTCTGAAATAAATGGAAACTCTCCTAAACACTTTTATACTTTCCTGAAGTTTTCTGGACCTCTGTAAAGACCCCAAAATATTTCTGAACTTTTCATAAGTTCAGAGACCTCTCCCCTGACATTTTTGACACATCATAGGGGTTCTCGTTTTTTTTCCTCTGATGAACATGGAGCTGTCCTGAATCTATCTTATCTCACGCTTATAGATTTTCAAACTCCTCAAAAGTCTGGAATTTCCAGCAGATACACGAACGGCTCTTAAGATCTCGGAATTTCATCTTCAATATCTAGATCTAGTTTTTCTGAGATACTTCGAACTTGTCTTGTCTCGCGTCGCGTCTTGTGAATGTCGTGTAGTTCTTACGTTAGCACAAAACATAAAAAATAAGTGACTTCGAACTTCTTAAAAGTTTCCACAGTTTTTCTCAAATTATCTTCTCATCTCTAAATTTAATTTGACTTAAGTTAAACTCTACAGCGAGAAGTCCACCACGTTTCAACGCTTCCGCAATCACGGTAAGGTCGGGGATTTCAAAAAATTCACCGACCTCGAGAAAACTATTAAGAGCTTGATTAAAGCAAAAAAACGCGGTTACTGGCTTCAGTTCGTCGATGGTTTGTCACGAGAGAACACTCTGGAATGCGAAACGCGTCATCACCGGTTAACGAAGACAAGGAGTACTCAGATAGATATTCAGCTTCGCGCGGAAAGTTTGCCCGGATTCGGTGTCGGTTCAAACCAACGTTCGGGATCGTCCGTGTACTATACGACGAAATAGATTCCTCGTTTTTGATGGTGGAATTCTCACTTGCTCTCCTCTCATGTAACAACTCAGCTCCAGGAATGAATATAATCAAGTTCAACTAGCTTAAAAAATCTCCCAGACGTCGCGAAGAGACGCTTGTTGAACTTATTCAATCAATTTCTGGAGCAGAACATTGTTCCGGATGATTGGAAGCAAGTTAGAGTTATTGCCATTAGGAAACCTGGCAAACCCGTGTTGGAGTATAACTCGTACCGCCCTATTGCGATGCTATCCTGCATACGGAAATTGTTGGAGAAAATGATTCTTCTTCGTCTGTACGAATGGTTTACTTTTAGATACGAAATTTGGATTTCGGAAGGGCAAAGGAACGAATGACTGCCTTGCGTTGCTTTCTACCTTAATTCAACTGACCTTTGCGCAAAAACAACAAACAGGGTTCAGTTTTCTTGGACATTAAGGGAGGTTTTGATTCTGTTTGTATCGATGGCCTTTCGGATAAACTCCACGATCGTGGGCTTTCACCAATTATAAACAACTATTTGAGCAACTTGTTGTCTGAAAAATATATGAGCTTTTCTCAAAGAAACTCGACAACTTCACGAATTAGTTGCATTGGTCTCCCCTATGTAGAGTCCTGACAATTGCATTGATTATTTGAATCAGTGTATGACTCTTGGTATGATTGCAGAATCCATCTATACCGACTAATGTCTGCATCAAGTCGACCCTACCATAACAGTGTGTGCGTGTAGCTCAGTGAATGTGTGGGTATTGTAGATACTCGGGTAGATGGTAATGAACGTACGCGAGCGTACGAGTCGGGCACTTGGATCAAAGCGTGCATCGTGGACTGCAGGACCTTAGAGGAACTCTACACCCTAGGGCTCATGTTTAAGCTCCCTTCTTTACAATTTTTATGGAAAAGACATTGATGGTTGTCTTCATGAAAATTGCTCGCTAAGCTAGCTTGCAGATGATGGCGTTGTGTCTGTTATAGGGCCAAGTTCACCGGACCTGCAAGGACCATTGCAAGATACCTTAGACAATTTGTCTACTTGGGTTATGAAGCTGGGTAGCGAATTCTCTCCGGAGAAAACTGAGTTGGTTGTTTTTTTTTTTCTTTTTTCTAGGAAGCATCATCCTGCACAGTTAAAGCTGCAGCTAATGGGTAAAACAATCACTCAAAGTATTTCTTTTAAGTATTTAGGTGTATGGTTCGATTCCAAATGCACATGGTGAAAACATATTGCGTATCTGAAACAAAAATGCCAGCAAAGAATAAATTTTATTCTTAAAATTACTGGAACTTGGTGGGGAGCACACCTGGAAGATCTGATCAGGTTGTATCGAACAACCATCTTGTATGTTCTAGAGTATGGTAGCTTCTGCTTTCAATCCGCGGCAAAAACACATATCCTGAGGCTGCAACGGGTTCCATACCGTTCCCTCCGAATCGCACTTGGCTGTATGCACTCAACGCATACGATGAGCCTTGAAGTAGTCGCGGTTATTCTCCCACTGACAGATCGTTTCACGGAACTGTTCTTCCGGTTTCTTATCGATTGTGAAGTATAATGAACCCATTGGTAATAGGAAATTTTGAG